AAAAAAAAAAAAAAAAGAAAAAGTTAATGTCACATTAAAAAAAAAAGGACTAAGTTCAAAAACAGCTTTTGCTGTAAAAGGAATTTGTTGGGTTTCCTTTGTACACTACGGGGGAGGCTCACGATTATTGTCCCTACAGAACTAGCCAGAGATCACCAAGTACCTGTATTACATCCCCCTCTTACCCTCCCCTACAAACAAACAGCTCTAGTTTCACTGGTATTTATTTTTTTTTCTTAAATTCAGTCCAACACAAACATTAGTCACAGTTTTGGATTGCATCTGTGCGGCACAAGGATCAATGCACGATCTATGGGCAAAAGTCCCCCTTTGCCCCCCGCTTCTGCCTTTTCCAGGCCGCTCGCTATGTGGGCGCTTTTATTCAGTAAATGTACAGGGGCACTGGGGGCAGGGGGATTTCGAGCACAATCATTTCTGCCCAGGAGAAATTTCTGCTCCTCCGCAAAACCTGAAGCAGGAGGATTCTGTAAAGGGGCCGGTCGCTGGCCAGAGCACGAGACATGAGGCCATGAGGAGCCTTGAGGGGCTCCACGTAGCACAAAGGCCCGTTGTGGAAAGCTCACGTAAAGACTGGGATCTGGGAACTGCCCTTAAGAGGCTAAAAACCACACGTGATAACATATCCTGATAAAAAAAAAAAAAAAAAAAAAAAAAAAAAAAAAAAAACACTAAAGCAGTTGGGAGCCCACAGAGCTATTTCCATGGGGACAAGAGATGCTCTGATCTTGTACCGCACTCATGCACTCGCACGCACCTCAAAGCCACCCTTGGAAATCAAAGCAGGTGAAGTAAAATAAAACGAAAACAACACTATGCTTTTTTGACTAAATAATAAAGTTATGTTTTAACAGAAGTCACCATCCACCTTGAACATGCTGCTGCCACATCGGGTTCGAGTGATCTCTCTGGCCTAGCACGGCTACCTCCCTGCTGTACTCACACACAGTTTCCATCCCGAGACTCGAGACCTCTCCGTTCTCYGCGCACAACACTCTTACTGTGGATTCTTTCAGAGACAAATGATTGCATTTGTGGGGATTTCTAAATGTCGTATTTGGGACCAAATGCTTAAATGATTTTGTCTAAGTATTATTTGAACTTAATGAGGGCTTTTCAGATGCTTTCTGGCAACGCAGGCACATGGGTACCCAACTCGCAGACTAGGGACGGCTGAAAAGGATTGTTCCTGTCTACATCAGTTACGACAGCCTGATGACAAAAGCAAGGCAAGGGGAATCCAAAGTCAGAAGAAAGTCAAAGGAACTCAATATAAACCTCCAGATAAATAACAAGTTGTTTTTTTTTTTTCTCCTTAAAGTCAACAAGAATGAACACTAACAGGCTCGCCAGAGTGAAGCAGGGGCACACATGATGCACAGCCCCCCTTGCCCATGTTCTCTAAACACATGCTGTCAAGTGGGGAACGCAAGCTACCTCAATAGTCCTTGCAGCAGGAGGGAGGAGAGCGGCATGCCATGCTACTKAGCAGACATCTCCCCTTTCCATGTATTTCCAGGAGCATCAGCATAACKGTATCTAGGATAAGCTCTCAAACAGAAGGCGTTGCTGCGGCAAGGAGAGAGCCATGCAGGACACGGTGGAACGCAGCCTTCTCCACTAAGAGTTGAGGGTCACAAGCAGGAAAGCAGACCAGAAGTTTTGCTTCAGCTCCCTCACTGGTTGACAGAGCCATTTCTAGCACTTTCAATTAAATCACAAAAGTTAAAAAAAGGCTTCCTTAAATTAAAGGCAGCAGCAATGTTTCTTACCACCCTACGTTTCTTCCTCTGCAGTGGAAAGTGGTTGCCTGCAAGGCAAGATGTTGTGTTGGCAACAGCACAAGCAGGTTTGTTTTGGGAACAACATTTGTACGAAGGTCTTTTTGTATGAGTGTGTGCTTTTGAGGCCCCTAAGATGCTCAGGTATATGTAAAAAGTAGGAAAGACAAAAACATTGTGGACGGGAGCCTCCTAATGCTTTTCTCCAGGCACTGCTGCTGTCTGTTGCTTGTTCCATTGGTGTGAAGCTCTGCTTAGCATCTCCTTAGCAGCTCCAATACTCAGCTAAGAAGAAAGTCTCTGCAAAAAGTCACCGAGCAGGGACTGTGACTACAGGCAATTAAGGACCAAGAATGCTCGAGTGTGCCCGTGAGTGAACGGGCTTGCACGTCCTGGCTARAAGTAGCCACATGCTCCAAGGAATAACATACTTTAATACTCTCAACCCTTTAGGGCACTGCTCTTACTCTTGCCTGACTAGTATTTGTTATGCCAAAATACGTTAGTGCACTGTCTCCAAAACCAACAGCAGCACAGGAAACTTGCTTCCTACAGCTGAACTTTCTTCCAAATTAGAAAGCAAACAACCAGAGGCTTTAGAGCGGCAAGTAAAAATAGCAGTTACTTTCAGAGCCTAAAAATGGATTTACATTGAGAACTAAGGCTATGAACTCTCCATGCTTCACAGTGGTGCCATTTGGAATAYATGGGGGGAAAAAAATGCTATTTCTAGATACTACACCACCTAATCAGGCTTGCCGGGCTAATAAGTTTACAAAACGCTCCAATGCTCGGGGGGGCAAGCTGGCTGTGCCCGCTGGACACTCAAACAGCAGGACTTGTGCCACACAAGCAGGCCAAGGTGCACAGGAGCCTTTTCCCTTCCCTGTAGCTCCACTGCCATGCTCCCCATCACTATGTAGTCATTTGCTTCAGCACTTGGACTCTAGACTTCCAAACTGCCAGACTATCATCCGCGTGTTACAGACCTGTTCTGCCTCAGGGATGTCACCAGTYAGGCCTTTTTTCTTCCAGTTCATGTTTACAGAGAGCCAGTTAACCTGCCTTTGCACCAGAGAACAGGGGGGAGAGAAAGAACTGAGGCTTAATTTCTTTTCTGCTCGCCACTTAATGGGATCCTACCGCATACACCATCTCTCTGCTGAATGATCATTGCTCAGACTCTCTCTATTGCTTGCCTTGCATTCAAAATACTTTCATACACAAACAGAAGTGCTCACTAAAGACCACCACTATAAGTCTAGGACATCACTAAGTTTGCTATCCATCCTCAGAACAGGACAACAAAGATATGTCTGCAAACAGCTTTGCACACCTTCGTACCACCTCATAAAGGCAGCAAAAGCCCTCGCAGTATTTTGTATGTGCATCATTCTGTACTCACAGCATCATTCAAATCAGCTGGTCCACATCCAAAGTGTCTCAGATSACCTCCACTGTTCCCCCTAGAGAACAGCACAGAGGATTGGAAATGTCAGGTCTTACCTAGCAGGGCACTAAAGTGGAAAAGAAAAATCACGCTTCAAGCTTCAGCCTAAGGCAGGCAGCTTCAGGCACATGATTTTTACTGCAGCACACACAGGTGAGCACATCTAAAAGGCTAATAAAACACATCCTATGGTACACGTCGACTCTCATTTTAGGTTTCAGCAACACACTCGACCTAACTCCTCACGTTTCAACCACAGCACATGACCAATGACCTACACTCCTCCTACGTGGGGAAGAAAGAAAGCGGTACGTAGCTTTCACAAATAAAGGTGTAGCTTTTCCAAGACACCTTTGGGTCTTCAGGTCTGAGGATCAGGTTCTGGAAGCGTGGCTATAGACAGTCTAAGCATGCCCACTGGTGGTAACAAGAAAGCTATTTCCCTTGAAGATCCGGACGCTTCTGCCCTTGTGCAACACTATCATCCCCCCTCCTCCCTTCCTGCTTGCTATCCTGAACCAGCACCCATATCCTACATATCCTGGGAAATGCCACTTTTATCCTTAAGCAACTGTATTTGTGGAAACTGAAAATACTCCTCAGTGCTTCYGTTGAAGCAAATTAGGAGCCAGACAGGTCAGAAAACCCACTGCACTAACCCCAAGCAACCGTTTTACAGCTAGAGATGTTCAATGTCCAGCAGCATCGCAMATCCCTGGCAAAGCACCTCATCGCCAGTATGTCACCTACCACCTGTAGACAGTTAATTCAGAGGGGAAATAGCTCAGCAGCAGCAAGATAAAACAAATGGAGTGTTAATTTTTTCTTTTCTGCATCATCACTGATAAAGTTGTCCGAGTAACTGTTCAGGGCACTTCATGCCACTGACAGCAGCACYGTACACTACTGACAGGCTCTATGTGCCTTGTGTCTACACCCTGTCTTTAATCTACTGAAATACAGGTTGTGAAGCTCACATGGTATTTGATCCTGGTCAGTGTTTTACTCTATCTTGCGAGTGGTAGAGGAAGAAAGGGAGGACATCTTTTCAGCCAAAAAATAAATCCACAGTAACAAAAGCAGGATATTCACTAGAAGATGACACCAATGACTGGTGTCCTTAGGTTGTCCAAGGCTATGCTCTGAAGATACTTTACATAAGATGAGCAAGATGTCCAAAACAAGGCCAACTGTGGTGTAAGATGCAAATTACCCTTAATTTCCTGCCTTAATTTCACCCAGCCACAGAGGATGACTATATTTCAGAATGAACCATTACCTAAACCATACAGTCGGAATGCAGATATATGTCTTTCTTTAAAAATTTACTTAAAAACTGCTTGAGTTGCAGGTCACGTCAGTCTGATTYGGAGAGTGAAGGCAGTTCCAACAGCACAATAGAGACTTGTCTACAGGCAGGTAAACGAGAGTCTGCTAACAAAGGGGTAACAAAAGCYGCTGGCTGGGCTGCCAATGTTGCACACAAACTTCCATAGGATGAAGATGCCATGGATGAGATCCAGGATGGGAAAACTGAGCCAACACCTGCTGCTGTTCTAATTTTTTTTTTCTTTTTATTCCTCTCTCACAAGAGGGGGTGGGTAGACTATACAGAAGAGGGCTGTACAAAACTGGGCACTGGGCAGGCATTTCTTCAGCAGGCAATCCAGGCTCTACCTGTCCTTGAGCTCTCTTGTCACCCGCTTGGTGATGCGTCCACACATCAGGCCGATCAGGAAGAGTACACAGATGCCCACTGTGATCACAGACAATATATAATTCTTGGACGGAGAGGTCATAACTTGCATGGCAAGGTCGGAAAAGCCTTCAGCTGGAGCAACCTAGGCGGGAGAGAAGAAAATTAATGACCCAAAGAACTGTGTTTTGCCTGAGACTCGGGTCAATTATGAGATTTAATCTCTGCTGTTGCTATTGCCTCCCCCCACAGTCAGACCCGCCCAGCACCACAACCAAGCRGGTCTGGAATAATTCACATAATGAACAACTCCGCCAGGAGACAGCTTTATAACAGGAAGTTCTGGTGACCCCACTYATTGCCCTAGACATTTTCTACATGAGACCAAGCCCTGCATGCCCAAAAAATGACTTAATCCTGCACTGTTGAGGAGGCATCTCAGGCATTGAGAAACAAAGAATAAACAAGTTAAAAAGGAGGCCCGATTTCATGGTTCCGGTGAAACTCAGTGCTCTACTTCATTCAGAGACACATGAATTTCACCGCAGCTCAGGCTTTAAATGAACAGTTTAATGAAAGAACCAGTGCCCAAAGACCAGGCGGTTGCTGGAAACGCTTTACACATTCACCTTCGCGGCGTAGCTCCACATCTCGATACGGTCGTTAAGGCGTTTCTTGCACTCGGGCTGCAGCCTCACGCGCTTGTCCTCCAGAGCTTCCATTAAGCAGGACATTTCTGTAACGTGCACAAGAGGGCATCACAAACACGGAACAGCTGCTTCGCTGGTAGGCTAGGGAGTTGAGGGTGCGGAGAGGGGAACAAGGCTTTGGAAAGGTTCTGCCTCCCGCATTCCCAAAGCTCTGGGCAGAGGGAATGGTGTTAAAATGCACTGGGTGCTATAGACAGACTTGGCCAATCCATGACCTCTAATAGAAGTTGAAACAAGATACTGGCATTTTATAAAAATATATGAAATTATATGTTTTTTATTTAATATTTAATTTATATTATATATAAAATTACATACTTTATATATTTATACTTACACTGCCCTACTTGAATAATCAATCTCTAATTGGATTTTTTTTTAATTTTGCTTTACAATGAGGAGTTATTTAGTGCACAAAAGCAAACAGGCTTTAAGCTTTAAATTAACCCCAGACTTTTAAACACAACTGTTGGTTCAAACAGTGGTAGAGCCCTGTTTAAGCCAGACTTCTGCGTATCTTCAGTGCAAATACACCAGAACAGACATCCAAAGAATTAGGACAAAACAAGAAATGAACAAAGGATATGCAGAATTTCAAAAACGCATTAAAAAAAAACATTAAAAAAAAAAAAAAAAAAAAAAAAAAAAAAAAAAAAAAAAAAAAAAAAAAAAAAAAAAAAAAAAAAAAAAAAAAGATAATGACCAAGAAAATACTTGGCCTGCCATTTCTAGTGACATATAAATTCAGGATTTTTTTTAAGGAAATTTAGGAAAAAAGCATTTCAAGTGGTCTGAACCTGTTGCCCTTTGTCTTTAGGGGGACTTAAGTAAGACTTCAGATGAAAAGCTCAGAGCCTTGAGCAGCTGTGCGAGCTTGGGAAATGTAGGAAAGATTGCCTATCTTCTGGCAGAGYGAGTAACAAAAAATGTGCATTTTAAGCAGAGGAGGAAAATGAAAAGAGCGGATCAAAAGACTTCAGCTTAATTTTATCCATCAAAAACACTGAGAAAAAAAGAAAAAGCAAACTAGGAATAATTACTGACACAAAGAAGGACCAAGAGGGATTTGCCAAGGATGGATCTTGTGAAACCAATCCGATTTGCTTCTGTAGGAGGAAATAGTTCCAGGAAAGCTTTTGACACGCTCTGATATATCAAACACTGTCATAAGCGAGTCTGAGCGCTGTATCTTACATGAAGCTGATAGGAGGGGAGATAAACATCGCTGAAAAAATCAGCCCATGTACTTAAGAGCTGATATTTCAATGGAAGGATTTACTGAGCAGGGATTATAGATTTGGCATCAGATACTATTTTCAGCAATTACACGAATGAGAAAACATAACATATACTTATCAAACTTGCAGATAAGGCCGCAGGGATATGACATTAGCACTGAAGAACTGCTTCCTGCCTTGGACACAAGGGAGGACCCGAACACTTCTTGACAACCCTTCTAGCACCGTGACTTGAACAAGGGCATCTGCCACCTCTGGAGCAGCAGTTCCACCTCACTACCCACCAAGGTCTGGCAGGAGTATCTCATACTTCACATAATGCTGGTAAAAAGAAGGCAGCTCAAGGCCCTCGGGACAGACAGGCTGTGTAAGCAAAGCCTAAACACTTACGGCGTCCTCTTCCCGGAGGAATGGCGGCGCAGTGGTGCTTGATGTCTAGGGCACAGGCCGTGTGGAGTACTGGGTCAACAAATATATCTGCTTTGCTTTCTTTCAGCATGTTGAGCACTTCCTGGAGAAGGAAACAATTACAGGTGCATCTCAAGAAAGGAGAGAGACCAGAACACCGCTGATTAGGCTGGGCAATGCTGCTGAATGGTGGATCATCTCTTTCAATCCATCATCACAGAAAAACAATACCAATAACGGACGTGATATAAATGCTGGATTAAATGTCCTGCTTTATGAGGATGAGCACAGTTAAGTTCACTAAATACCCATATAAATGTAAAATAAGCTCCATAGACTAAGGTTATTTTGGTTAAAATTGAAATCAATGCCACAGCTACGGAGCACTTTGCAGGACTCAATCACAGCCCCTGCCTTGACCATATTGATCAATCAGGAAGTTTGCAACTGACCCAGCAGCAGCAAACAGATTAGTAACTAGAAACTTTGGCAATCATAATCAAGAATAGATCCAAATTCTGGAACAGCAAAGTATAGTGCACTGTAGACACAATTTTCACTAGCAACTTGAAATGGAATTGAATTGCTGCAGGCCAGAATTGAGCRGCGCAAAGAAATTTGCAGAGTTTTGGCTTCACACTAGCTAGAACATGGCCCGGGGTTTGATCTTGAAGAATACTTAAGAACACTACAGGGACAGGATGCCCTGAAGGGCACGTTCAATTTAATTCCTTTACCTTCTTGCACATTTCGGCTTTTATTTTCAGCAGATTCACTTTCAGACATTCTTCCACCTGCCCAGTCTGCTCCTGAGCTGCTGCTTCTTCTGCACACAGGCTGGAAATCTATTTTGAAAAAAAAAAAAAAACACACACACACATATATATATTATCATTAATAAATGGTACCTAGCAATCATTCTGCCTATTTGCATCTCAACACATTAGCACATCACAAGAAATCCAGCTTGACTCCTTCAATACACGTAGCTTTCTTAACCGAACACCAAGAAATCAGTATTGTTGTTTTGCTAGGAAGGCAGAGAGAAAAATTGCATAGAAATACTGCTAAGATATGAAATAAATAAACCCTGAGACACAGACCATTATGCTATTAAAAGAAAAAGCTCAAAATCTGACTGTATTCCAGTGAAGATAAGGCTGGAGAACTGCTCTCTGTTCACAACAACAACAACACAATATATTCCCATGGTTGTTACTAGTGATGAGATGCCAGATGCCAAACTTTACTTCATCCTCGCACTGCACAGGAATCTGCCCATTCTTACATACCAGGAAAAAGTCACAAGCAGAGAACACTAGCTGGAAGCAGCTAGTTATTTTGTTTGTTTGTATTCTATTAGCACAGTTCATGTTTTAAGAAACACTAAATCAATTCCACGCCAGAACTTCTCAATTCCAAGCTCCTGAGGAGAGTTTTCATCCCAAATAAGCAGCTGGGGAGTTACATCTCCTACCTCTTCAGAGCAATGCATCTGAAGCTGGGGATCCAGTCGATAATCAAGAGCCGATTCCTGGATTATCACTCGGATTTGGTCCTCACAGTCTGGAGAGAGACGCTATTAAGCGGAGAAAGTCATTAACTCACTCCATGAGCTTTCTTGCCATAAATCAATCATCTCGTATTTTAAGCTGTGTCGTTATAGTAACTATACAGCAGCATAAAAACTCTTTTAGGCACAGTGCATGATGTATGTTGAACATACCGTGAGTCCAAGTACCACCTGACATTCAGCGGATGCTGCTCAGCACATTCCTGCACAGTCCCTGTTTGCGAGCGCCACCTCAACTCACCTGGTCTGCATATTTCAGCTTCAGACATGAGATCACTTGTCCCTCTAACTCTGTATCATCCTTGGCTCTGTTCAGGATATTCTGGCAAAATTTGGGGATGTCTGCTTTGCAGGCCTTCCGGAGCACAGGATTTAAGCGGTAATCTAACAGAGAAAACACAGCAGAACTTCATCTCTCCAGGCAGAGCGTAATACTCCGAAAGAGCTTTGAAAGAAGCATCACCCAGACACCAGCATGTGCACTGACAATTGTGAAGAATAAAATGAAGAGAACAGTCCTCCAGGCATGCAGATCACCCATGAGCTCAGGCAAGCAGTAATTTCATTATTTCCCCTGTCACGAGAAGGGCATACCTGTGTTCTGTGTAATCTGGCGCTTGGTAATCATTTGCTTGCATTTAGGATCCATTACTTCACTGTTCTTATTCTGTTTCAGACACTGCAGCATGTTTTTTGAGTCTGCCTCTGGACAAAATCGCTACAAAAAAAAAAAAAAAAAAAGTTCATTTCAGCATTAAGCACTTAAACCATCACAGATCCACAGAACAGAATATCCATACGCCTAACCTGGAGACAGACAGAACTCAACTCCCTCTAACCTTAACACTTCCTATCACTAAGAACATGATGTTGACTTGAACACCTGTATTTATGGAGCGTGAGCTGAGCAGTTACAGACCCKGCTAGCTAAGGGTCTGGGCTGCAGTTTGCACTGGTAGTATCAAAAGCAGTTTCCCTGTATTTTACATTCAGAAGTTACCAGCTCTGTGAGAGAAACCTGCACCAAATCTGATCGCATTCACTACTGGTTTTAATCCAATTTATTTCAGAAATTTAAAAAGGTATCTGGTAGCTCCATATACTGCCACTGTCTGTAACAGCTGGATGGACAAAGTGACAGGTAAATACACAAAGGTAAGACCATGTAGCACGAGAGAGCTTCCGATTTGTCCATTTTTATCCTAAACCAGAGGACTTATTGCTTCTTAATCACTTATTCCTTCTGTTAGAAATTAATTCTGCTGTTGTAAGACAGAGGTCCTGTACTCATAATACTCACCATCTCTGATGATGTTATAAGTCTTCTTTTRAAGCACAAATCTGTTCTGGAGAGCCATAAACTCTCCAGATACTATGCTTCAGACACCAAGAAGGATTCAGAGCATTGCACAGAGTACACACGTACACAGTAGTATTTCAGGCCTTGCAGTTCTAGCTACAATGCAGAAGTGTTTCATATTAACATCCACTGCTGTTTGTCAGTGGCACCACTTTAAGGCATTTCTTATTTCAAGGATCAAAGGTTTTGCATGACTTTGCCTACTCTTATCAGGGTGATGAAAGTCTGCACCAGCTCGGCAGTGGGCCCTGTAATCACGGTGACTTGTCCACCTCTGCTGAAGGCCAAYTTGCTGCAGCAAGAGGACAGGTCAGATCAAAGCTGTATGGGAAGCCCCAGCACGCCAGACTTCCTCCTCTAATGCTTCTGGTACATAGGGAAACAAATATTTGCACAGGCTTTAATCAGGCATTCGGAGGAAGCAAGCTGAGAGAGAGATGCCCGAAAGAAACCTCAACTTGACTCAGAGTTAAGAATCTGGTTGTTTTGCATAGAGGCAATCATATTCTGAAACACCACAGCAATTTGGAATGAATCATTATGCAGCAGCTCAAAACTGATAGTTTAAGACACAACATCAATGGGTTCTTATATCCCAGCCTCACCCTCCCAAGTCAGCACACTGCCATCACCTTGATCATCTGCTTGCAGACTCTCATGAGCGTGTAGTCCAGTTCTGGATCCATCATCTCTGTCTCCTGCAGTTTAAACACCTTCTGGTGACACCGGGAACTCAACTGCTTCTTGATCTCCTTCAAGCACTCAATAATCTAGAACACAGTATGAACACATTTCATGGGATGAAGAGGGTCACCTAGACCTACTCCCCACACCCCAAAACTCATTTTGCAGACATTGTAGCTAAAACTTCTTTAGCAACCTTTGCAACAACCAGTTAATAGTTTAGAACTAATGTTAAATAGGGAATGTCTTATAGACAGCATTACAACCACTCATTACATTGCTTGTAAACCAGCTTTTAAACCATTTAAACCATTTAAAAGTTCCAAGACACTCACAGAAGGTTTTGGTGGTGCCTTAAAATGAAAATCCAAAGCTGCATTACCAGAAACAAAAAGTGCTCTTTTTTTTTTTTTTTTTTTTTTTTGCAAAATGGCAGTACAAATTGAACTCTAAATTATTAATAAAGATCCATTACCTGAGCATTGCCATAGGCTACATTTTGGCAGTAATTCTTGATGTCACTTTTACAAGCCTCGTACAGTTCTGGTTCAAGTCTGATATCCTCAGTCTGCAGGACAAATTACAACACAAACTTTTAATTGAGATACCCCAAAAATCCTACAATTTTAACTTTGTTATTCTATTAAGTAGAACTCCGCTYATCAAAAGTGAATACAGGAGCCTTGGAGGTAACAAATGGTTAGTGGGACATCTACCTTGCAAACCCTTGCAATGGATCAGTTGGCTTTTCACACAGAGAGAAGCAAGAGTCTCTATGCAAACGTAATTATAGAGTTGGCAAGTTGTCCCCACAACTCCTCTATTAACACAGAAGTCCAAGACAGCTAAGATCTTTTCCAATGAAAGCTAAAGGACCTTTTGACAGCCAACCAGCCATAGCACAACCTGCTAGATAATCTGCTAGAGGACTGGGGATGTTCGCAAGCAGAGCATCTTGCTCTCTAACATTAAACAYGAGACATTTAGGTCACTGCTTTCACTGGGGAAAGGCATCTGAGCCTGGTAGTGTCAGAAGATTTTTCTCCCACTGGAAAAAGCAGATTAGATGCATCTTATGAATAAGCTTCCTTATTTTCCCCTGAGGTGGACAGGGCAGGAAGCTCTAATTAGAAGACCTCACTGGAAGAGCAGGCACATCAAAAGCCTCATGTGTGTTTACCATCTCCAGCTCCTCAACACGCAGCTGTTTGCGGCACTTCAAAGACACCCTGTGCTCCTTGGCATCCTGCAAAGTATCATTGCGCACAGTTGTGCTCAGGCAGATCACTACATCCACCCTGCAGAAAGGAAAAGAGCTTCTTATTAATATACTCCTCACAGATGTCAACCAAAATGTGGAAGGAAGTTGGGGATAGGAGACAGGTACGTTGCATCACCACATTACAGAACAAAAAATTGACCCCAGAAACGTAAACACAGTTTATAACATAAAATGCACAGTCTTCTTATCCATAAAGAGGATTGACCTTGTGTGCAGTTTAGCCTTACATTAATGGGGTAGGCTTTTAAAAGAGAAATCCTTCTACTGAAATGCATGAGCCTGCTAAATCGAGCAGGATATTCTCCTTTCCCAAACCAGCAACTCTAACACTTAACGTCTCAGAAGACGATGAATCTTGCCAGGGTAACACATCCTGGGGCATGCAGATCATTAATTGTAATAACCAGCTATTTTCATAGCAAGAAGAACAATTACGACGACACGATCCTTTCATAAGAAGTAAAGAGAAACACCTTTACAAAGAGGGAGGCAATGCCTCTACCTTAAGCATTTGCAGAACAGAGTCTCTACAAGAAAAGGCACAAAYTCAGTCTTTAGATGAAACCTAAGGTCTCTTGACTCATCAGAAAATAATATTAAAGCTTTATTATGCATTTCTATAATTTCAGGTTGCTGTTTGCTGAGGTGCTACATACTTTTTCTTGATGTTGGGGCAGAGTTTCAGCACATCCTCCTTGCAAGCCATTTTAAACTTGTAAGAGAAGCGAAAGTCTTTCATTTGAACCTGCCAGGGAGGAGAAGAGYTTTAGTCATCCATAGCCAGAAAACGAAAAGAAAAAACATATCCTGCATGGACTATCGCTTGCTGAATCACAAGAATCAGCAGTTGCTTTTGGCCACAGCTCATCTGCTGGGAAACAAAGGAGACGCTGCAGTGCTGAAGAAACTGGGACCCTATCTTACATGCAGCAGTAAAGAGGAGGGCGGAAAAGAAGCAATCTCCAGAAAGAACCATTTACGACCAGGCATGTAAATACAATTATCGAAACTCAGAATACCACATTTAACAAAGTGGGGAAAAGAAAGGAAGAGATTCATAAGTAGCTAATTCCTGTCAACCGCCTCAGCGAATAAAACRAGTTTCAGCTGGTAGTGTAGAAGAGCAGTACTTACCAGCTGGAAATGAGTAACTCCAATTGCACACTTCTCATTCATCTCCTTCTGGTGTTTGTTCTGTATCAGACACTCCATCAGGTCCCCGGAATCAATCTGGTTATCTGCCACCTCCTGAGGGATGGACGAAAGGCTTAAAAACAGGCTACAAGCTACGATTTCTATATTCCTTTAGTCCACCGGGACTGGGAAAGAACTCAGAGCAGCAGTATTTGAAGTCCTACTCCATAACGTGCTTGTGCACACCATTAACTGCCCTGTGTTTGCATGCATACACTTCTTCAGTTCAGGAAAGAATCATCTCAGGCACATRTACATGTTGGATTCAGAGAGATGATAACACTTGAAGTTGACACTTCCATGAGGTATTAGAGTTTGGTGCCTATGCTGCTATTTGACTATTGAAATTCTATAGCTGCATTAAGGAGGTTTAACAGCAATGTTATAACCTTAATCACAAGGCAGATCAGCTAGACACACTGCTTATGTGCAGGAGAGAAGAAAAAGCTGAGTTTCTGGCCCACTATAAAGAATAACTTTWAAATTACAGGGCACTTTGGTAATCTAGTTCTTGTGTCAGGTCTCTGCAATAACAACGGAAGTATCACATGGAAGAATGAATTCTTTATTTACTTATTTTTAATATAGATTGTATAGACTTCTGTGATCCTTCTACCTCTCGTTTTAAGTACACCAAAAAACTAAACATTAAAAACCTTCCATACAGCATTTTCCCCAATCCCATTCAGGTTATCATGGAGTACTCACATGACAGAACGTCTGGATGATGGGCTCACAGGCTCTCATCAGCAAGGCTTCGATCTGAATGTCCTGCAGAAAACGTCAAGTGAGCAGACAGTCACTTTACTTGGTTTACAAGGTTTTTTGCAATCCAGAGCTTCACCCTTCAGTTGTGAAATATCCAAGGTTTATGTCTGTGACAATGTAGCATATGCAGGAAGGAAAGAACCTMATCTCCACAGACAGAAACTCACTGCTTGGCTAATTCAGTCTCCTCCAAACCTGACGCTACGCACTAGAAGACATACTAGACTTAGGCAGGAGTTAATGATTAACAATAGTTCTGAGCCAAATGTTTGTAATCACCGGAAAGAAGAGCCTCTATGACACTAGACAATCTTTAAGATATACAGAGGATCATTTCGGGCAAGATGCTCACAACACCCAATTTCTGAAAAGTGAGGCTGCTGATCTCAGTGAAAATACCAAGATTGCACTTAGGCCTTGCAATACATTTGAGCCGGGGAGAGAGCAATTGCAATATTGTATTAAACTGCTTGCAAGTAACATCAAAAACTAAATCTCCACAACATATTTTGATTGGTATTAAAAATAACAGGGTTATCTGTGCAAAAACTTCTAGCTTCAAGACCATCACCACTTTTAGGCTGGTGCTTCATTTTTCCTTCCACTTAAAATCTTTAACTGTTGTACACTTGTCTCAGAGAGCCTCCAATGAAAATTAGAACTGTACTACACGAAAGGGTGGCCACTGCTTTGTCCCAGAGAGCTGCATTTCTGCACCTACTCTGATCTTATTTTTTTTTCAGCTTTTTCAAAATGGCATGCTTAACACAGCATGCTTTATTCTTCCCTTCATCCTAGGCTGAAAATGGCTCACCTCAGACTCCAGCTCCGTAAGATTTCCCACTATGTCTCTGCAATCGGACACCAAGTCATCAAGATGGTCCTGAAGACATTCTAGTTCCTATAAAAGACAGTCATTTTAGTACATGATCTGAGGGTGCAAATTCAAAATCTGGGCCCAAAATGGGTACCTGGGTGGAATAGTCCCCCTCTTCATAAAATGAGCAATCTCATYTAGGTCTAAAGTCTTAAACTAACTGATGAGAATTTCAGAGCTGATGTGCTACGACTTTGTCTTTCTCCTTGGAAGGCATCACTCAGGCTAAAACCAGTTATTTGGTACCATCCTTTCCTGCCTTCATATCATACAGGATTACCTTTGGAGAAAGGTAATCTTACAGCTTTAAATACATGATAACCTGAGGATTGGCAAGCAATATTCAAAGAATCTGTTCCCCAACAATGTAAATTTGGATGCATGCACTGTAGCGACCGAGCGTATCGGGCGAGGWTGTTACTGCTTGTTCTCAAAATGAGCGGGAAGTGCTTTACCCAGGGTGTCTACCCATATTACTATGGAAAATCCCCATATTACTATGAAAAATGTTTCCAAAGGACAACAGCATATGCACTACTCCATCTGCTGTCCAGTGTCTCTCCCCCACAGCTATGCTAAGGCCGAGCAATTGAACAAGAAAGCCTTTGCCGAAACGTCGTTAAAGAGCAGCAGATGTTAGTTCAGTTCTTTATAAACACAGGAAGCAGGGCAGGATTTGCCGAATGGAACTGGGATAAAGTTTACGTGGGAAATGTCAAACTTGAAATAGGATATTACAAATTAGAACCAGGATGGGGGGAGAGGTCACTTCTTCAAAGTGAAGTCCTTCATCTTAATCATCCCTTTTCCCCATCTCATTCCACTACATGTTTGAATATACGTAAATTGTGCTGGAGGTGCAAAACCTCTTCATATCAYCACAATCTTTCAGCCTAGCATAGATTATGTTGCAAAATGCTTTTTTAAAATATATTTTCAAGTATAAAGAGTTCAGCTAGCTATGAGATGTTCCTTCATCCCTCTTTTGTCTCCCCTCCCAGCAAGTTTTGCTAGAATGATTTCCATGCACAACGTACCTGCCCTGTCTCTGTCTTTTCACTGCACCATTTCCCCAAGTCAACCATACACTTGTCCTGGAGAGCYGGATCCAGTTTCACATCCATGGCTCGCTGGTGGAGGATTCTCTGCACTTCTGCTCTGCACTCTCGTGATAGCTGCAAAGAGGGAAGAGAGCTTTTAGCACGTGGTGCATCTAAATCCATAAAACACACACAAAACACTCAGAAGTGGCTTCATGAAGGGGAGCACAGACCACTAACCCCAATCCTAAGTAGTACAAGAGAGTCCTGCACTGCCCAATGTGTAACCAGTGGGCTCAGAACAGGGATATTCAGACATAATCCAGACACTAAGAGCTTGGACTTTTGTTGTAGCTTAGAGGTACGCTCCTTTCGTTCCAGTAAGGGAAATTATATCCTTACACTTTCTCTTTGCTCTTAAATGAGATGTTGATGCAGGTTCCTAAGCCAACTCTATGCTGCCACCTTCTTTCAAAGCTACATTCCGAGAAGAAAGTCAGAAAAGCCAATGTTGCCCTTGACTCCAGAAGGTACCAAGCCCTATGTGCACCCACAGTTTCTTCTCTGCCACCTCCACTGCATTTGTTCAGACTAGGGACTAGGGAAAGAGATGAAACGGAGAAGATCAAGGGACACGAGGATGGTGCTCACCAGGCCTAGAAGGCACTGGTAGAAGCTAAAAGCTTCACACATTTAAAAAATCCAAAGCACCAGAAGTCATCTAGAAGTACTTCTGCTTCTAGAAGAAGATAGATCTGATGAGTTTGCTTTCAGATTCTGAATTTCAAAGTGACAGTTGTTCCTTTAGCCTATTTTCCCTAAGAAAAATACATTTCAGAACCTTTTTTTCTTTTTTTCTCTTTCTGATAGATTATTTGCAGGGGTCTATGGATTTCTTTGGTCAGCACTAAAATAAAAYGGAATTAAAAAGTCAACTCAGCACACTAAGAGACTGCATTTTTWAAAAAATAAAACCCTAAAAGAGAAGCTTTCAATCAATAATTGACCTGTGCCACAGAAGGCTTGTGCCAACAAACTGTAGGAATTAATTTTTAAAGTCAGGCCACTGGCAACCCCTCCAGCTCCCAGGAGCTGTGTGTATTAGGAGGTCAAAAGAAAGGGAGCTGAGGAGCCGGCTGCTTTCGAGGGAGGCTCTGTACCTCGGCAGGGACGCGAGAGGGCAGCAAACTTGAGGAGCTCGGAACCAAACACCAGGCACGTATACCAGGTCTGCAGATTGCASGGCAGCAAGGCAGACCCCTGCTATCTTCTTAAAAGATGGCATGAGCACAGAATCACAGAGTGGTTGAGGTTGGAAGGCACCTCTAGAGATCAATCTAGCCCAACCCCCTGCTCCARCAGGGACACCCAGAGCACGGGGCACAGGGTGGCATCCAGGCAGGTTTGGAAGATCTCCAGAGAAGGAGCCTCCACAGCCTCCCTGGCAGCCTGTGCCAGGGCTCTGGCACCCTCACTGTCAAGAAGTTCCTCCTCACATGGAGATGGAGCTGCCTGTGTTGCAGCTTGCACCCATTACAAGCACATTAGCAGCACACACAAAGAACGGAAAGCCTATTTTAATACCAACAAATTTAATGGAGTGTAATCTGAAGCTGCGCTCAAACAAAACTGGAAACAGCCTCAGAAAGCTAGCTTCAAAAGTGGGGTTTTTTTATTGTTTTAATGTGTATGTAAAATTATGTAATTTCGTAGTTAAACTAGCTAGCTGCAAGGAAAATCAACGGACTCTTTGGAAAGAGAAGAGGGAGGATTTGCAGCATGGCTAGACTGATGCACATAAGGGGCTCTCGGCACAGTTCCCATTGCAGACCAGTGCCTTATCTTGAGCCGGCTACTTTGCTTTATCAGAACAGCATAAGCCTCAAAGGTGCCCTCAAGGAGGAGCTGGGAACGGACACTAGTTCAAGAGGTATCCACAGCAAATGCTTCCAACTCCTGCGAGTCCTTGAAGGCGCAAGCGCAGCCTCCAAAGRTGCGTCCAGCCCCGAGGGCAGCGCGGAAGCAGCGGGGAGCTGCCGGGCAGCGCTTACCCTGCGGCCCTGCTCCTCCGTGCGGTACGCGTGCCGGTACAAGCAGGAGAACACGGCGCCCGGCGGCATCAGCTCGCTAGTCTCATTCCAGCCGTGGGTATGACAGAGCCGCGAGGCATCGCCCTGGCACTTGCGGTAAAGGACCGTATCCAGCCTGCAAGGAGAAACGTTAGCGCTCGCGCTTCCGCTTCGGCACTCAAACCTTCAATGTTCCCTCCTTTCCAAATGCTTCCAGGGCGGATACACCCATCACCGCTGCAGCGTTTAGCGGCATCGGGACAACTGCACCAGCCCGTGGCAAAATGCCTGGCGCTCCCTTTGAAATTACCTTCCTAATCTTGCAAAAATACACCAGGATCTTTCATTACAAATCAAATCTTCCACACCTCTCCTCTCCTCCTGCAGCAGGCCAGCCAACTGCTGACACATGAGGGAAAAAGATCCTCCTCTCGATGTGCTAGAGCAGCAGAAAGGCAGCTACACACCATTTTATTTGTATAATACCTTATATGTACTTTGTACCGCTGCCATTTTGAAATGTCAGCTTCATAAAAATCTGAATTTGGTTAATTATCTCCTCTACATTTMGGCTGATTTCGCCAATGGCTCAGCATCACTCACTTCTGCATGCAAGAAAACTGCGTTGATTAAGATGATGTTTAATTAAACTGAAAGGTATCGCCAGCTTTTTGAAAAGCTGGCCTGACATTGTGGCACCTTAAAACTCAAACACTGGATAGAATCTGTCACCAAATTTACACAGATTATTATAAAAACAGTCAGTAATAAGCATTGTAAAGATTTCTGTGCTCTTTTTCAGGGGTCCAATAACAAGATTTTTGTCAGTCAGCTCCAGGGAACCATGTGGTTAAACAAAGGTGAGCCAAGTTTGTCTGCTCTGCAATGTGATCCGAAATAATCCTTGCTCCCAGCAAAATGCAAATACTCAGTTTTCCTCTTCCTGTTCACTTAAGTTTGGCTCAAGTAACTAATTCCCTGCCAGAAACATGGCACAGGAGGAAGAACCCACAAGGATCCTCCAGGTAAGGGAAGCGGAGGGAAAGCAGCCAGTTATCAAGGTGACTAAACAAGCAGAAACAAAGCCCTAAATTCTGTGGCCCATGAACCTCCTGTATATCCAGAAGTGGTTGCCAGAGCATCTGCTTGCCCTTAACCACCGTCAGGACTGCCTGCAAATACAGCTATAAGCCAGATTTTCTCAGTGACTAATTCAAATAGCAATTTAAGGTGATGGCTTCTTGTCTTCCTCCCTAAAACCATCGAGCAAAATTATTCTCTTTCTTGCAGCAACCCCATTTGATGCACTCTGACTTCCRGGCCTCTCAGCCTTCTGAGGAAGAAAAGCCAAATATTTATTCTTCCCTCATTGATCATGTTTACCAAATACGCCAAATTCACATCCTCCTCCCACTCATCTTAATCCAGACAGACACAGAGGGCTCTGTGGATATTTAAAACAAAGCACTGCAATCTTTCGGTTTTAAAAAAAAGTTTCAAAAGTAGCAATCTGAAGGGAATTATCCACCCTGCAGGAAATAACACCAACACAATTTGAAACAGGGCAGAAAGAAGCAGAGAATCACTTCAGACGGTGGTTTTTTGTTATACTTAGTAGCTCAGTTTTCTCAACTCTCATGTTGTAGCACASAACGCAGACAAAAAGCAGAGAAAACCAACCACTGCTTACACAGAAAGCAACCTTTACCTTCAGCATAGCCAGAAACATGTTTTAATTAAATATGCCTCTGAGCTCAAACTTGAGAGGCTTTGTAGAGCTGTGTTATTTGTTCTAAATGAGCATCTGATTTAASTAGGCGTCACCCTTACCTCTCGCAACCAGCTCTTGCTTCTACTAGTCTAGACAGATACTAATGCCTTAAAACTGGCCAGCTTAAAAGTTTTCTGTCTCGTTTAAAGACAAGCAAGCTACACAGCTATGTGAGGAATTGCCAATGCTTAGGCATGCTAGATATGGGCATCTAGAAAAATGCCCATATCTTCTTTTATCTTAATCTTATTTTACAGTTCTCACTTCCAATCACGGGATATAAAATACTGCAGCTCCAGGAGCCGATGCTCACAATCCTCTACCATCTTCTCTGTGTATAAATGCTCCATCAGACAAGACAGAATCCTGCAAAAGATGAAAAAAGGAAGTTAGGCGAGAGACTCAATTAGGAGCTTCCCCTCAGTAAGAGCTGGTGCTGCCAACTCAAGAGCCTTTTTGATGAACCTTGGCTAGGAGGTTCAAGCAGAACAAAGATAATCTTTCCCCTCCTTCAAAGAAGAGATTGCATCCAAAACAACCATATACCACATTCACACCTTCTTTAAAGTCCACTGATTTAACTAAATAGGATCTGACATGTGACAAAAGAAGGAAAAAATGGCTTGGAAGACATATATATATATATCTCAAATATAAAAGCAGGTGCATCTCTGCAACATGGGTTTATTTAACTGGCCTTTCAAGGCTTGCTACTTCGCTTTGTAGTATTGTTAAAGACTTAGTGAGAGAAATGAACACATCAAGCGTTASCAGTTTAAGCTCCTAAAATAGCTACATCGTTCCTCACTGCTAAACCAGCCTTGCTACGAATACACCAGCCTCCTTATGCAGCAAAACCAGAATACAACCCAGGCTGCACCTCCTCCCCTGTATGAGCTGCTAGCTTGGAGGCTCAGAAATGCACACGTTAACATCTGGACTGCCCAGCCGCATAATTCTTATGGATGCCCACCAAAACCAYTGGTAAGAGACAGCAACCTACATGGGATCTCCAGAGCGGATGTGCTTGCAGGCAGTCTGTATGACCGACTCGCAGGCCTCGTTGAGAGCGCGGTCGATGCGGTAATCTGCACCGGGGTCCGTCTCTTGGATCAGCGTTTGGAGCTGGAAGAGAGGGGTGGACAGGAAAGCATGAATCATTAAGCTCCAAATCAAGAGTGCTTGAGAGCGTCTCAATTCGACAGCTCTGTGTTAACGACAGCACTAGCCCATTTGAAGCCTGTGCTACAGCAGCTTGGTTTAAGTGCTGTCAAATTGTGTGCACTAGAAAACACAGCAATAGTTGGTGAGAGCAGTCACACACTGAAGGTTAACTGTAAATCTAGAGTTTATTAAACACCAATTTGCAGAACAGATTTGAGAACATTTGAACGTTGCAGTTTTGGTCCATCCTACGCCTTGGTGGCAACCTCATTCCATAATGCTGGTAACACCAGGAAAGCAAGTTTGTCACTTTTCCACAAAACTTATTTTCAACTCTGGACCAAGACCCAAATCAACATTTAAAGATCAGTTAGCTGCTGGAGTATAAACAAAGCTTTAAAATGTTGCTAAATTGCCTGAAGGAACCAGAGACACAAGATATAAAGTCCTAGGTCCTGTTCTGCAGACCCATGAAGTAGGATTCCCTTAGAGATGTCTGCTCTCTCCAAGGTTCATCAAGGGTTGGTCTACACTATAGAAAATAGGCTTTTAGAAAGGCAGCAATTTATTCTATCTATTTGGCAGGAAAGGTCTTCTCTGCCACCCCTCAGTCCTGGACCCTTCTGCCCCACTTCTCCCACCAAGCCATGAATCCTCAGAGCCTGAGCAAACAGGCAGGCTGATCATCATCTCACAGGCAACATGTTTGGCTAACAAATTTAGAGCAAAAAATCCAGAGAAAGAAAAGCACCCCTTTTAGAAAGCACCTCTGTACCAACATCAGACGGGCTATACTGTTAACACCCTGACACTTACTTAAATGATTTTTGTCCCTCAGACCAACTACATCCAAAGTCCAGCTATGTTTTACCTTCCATCTTCCAAACTCTGTGCCTAAACACCACCCAGTGCAATTTCAGGGGGCAAAGCCCTAGCCCAGCACCACAGCACGGACAGAAAAAGCACCCGAACACCACAGAAAATCAAAGCTACCGTTACTATTATTATCCACTCTGAAGCTTCTAATCAAGACGATGGGGCACAAACTGCCTGGGAGGTGCAGAAGGTTCCCTGCAGCTCCTGACCCTGCCTAGCGAAGGCCACAATTTCACACCTTCCATGTTGAGGGGAGGATCAGACCTCCTTTGGAATACTAATAATTATGATAATCGAGATAACTGAGAGGCAAGGGCTGCTCTCCCGCACGAGTCTGGCCTAGCGGAGCCAGCAGGAAAGCCTTGCTTAAGGAGACAAATCTAGAGTTATTTTCATGCGTTCGGTTTGCAGGATTCATGGCACGAAGCCAGCACAGCCAGACACTTCCCAGCAGTTAAAAGGCACACTCGAGCTGAAAACAGGGCATTTAGAGCTTGAATACAGCCAGGCTCTTCATCTGATTGGAGTCCTTTAGGTGTTYAGGGGTATTTTTACCCAAGAACCTCCCCAAGAGCAAGACGTGACAGATGCAAGGCCAAGTATTAGTAATGCTGTAAAAAAAAATATTTTACAGCAGCAATTTCCAAGCACTTAAAGCCACTTTTTTTTCCCCCTCCAGTCCTACCAATGTATCCTTTCAAAAATCCACACATCCTTGAAACGTTATTTCCTGCAAAAATGGCAATGATGGTCCAGATACACGGGGAGACTCGTCGGGTCTCTGAAGACCAAGGGCCTCGAGGCGGCATTTCAGGAGCACCAGGCACCTTGCAGCTCCCTTTTCTCCTTGCAGGGCCCTTTTGGGAACTACGGCGAGGTTTTGCAAAGCAAACTCTCCACCAAGTGCAACGTGTAAAGCAGGGAGCCAGCTCTGCCGAGCCAAGAGTTAGTAGGAGGCGGAAAATTTGGCACTGGGGACAAAAGCCAGAGTTTCAGGGAGTTTTCCTGCCTTCCACAAYCAACCCTTGCTGCTGAAAAACAGGMGGATAAGCCTTCTAATCCRCCAAACTTTGATYCTGAATTGCACCTAAATTGACAATTAGCTACCAATTTATTAGCTCTATTACAAGCTGAAAGCAGAGGGACCAGCCCTTGTAGCAGTAATTACAGGTTTTTCACGCTCAAGGGATAAACAGGAGAAAAAATAAAATAAAATAAAATAAAATAAAATAAAATAAAATAAAATAAAATAAAATAAAATAAAATAAAATAAAATAAAATAAAATAAAATAAAAT